TTTTTTGTTTTGTGAAAATCATTGAGATAAATTGAATTGACTTCTTTTCAATTTTCGATCTAATGAATTATTTCATAGAAAGGTTTTTTGAAAGTCATCGAATTGTAGTATAAAGAAATTTTTCAATAACAGAAGGCGTACAGTGAATTAGTTCTCATAGAATCTTGTGATGTTCTCATCACAGGACTTTTTTCTATACTAGAGTATAATAACAATGATATCATTCTGAAATTATAGACAGATTTATTTGTATGTCGAAAAATAACCTATCAAAGTATTACCTTTGAACTGGGCGTCTATGTTACAACGTCAATATATATCGCAACTTTCTAGGAACTGCCATATTTCTAGAATAGTCATCAAATACACTCTATAGTCAGTTAGTTTGATTTGTCAAATAACAGTAGATGATAATTCTTCAATAATATTTCCTCAATAAACAACAATACACAACGAACCATTTAGTTACAAATGTTCATAATGAACGTTAGCAATTATTGATTGAAACATGAATATCAGCTAAACTTATACAAACATTTATTCGTCTTCTTGCCTAAGTGTGATTTTTGTCATTTCAGTACTGTCTTTGACTTGGCATGAAAAAATGACAGGTCAACTAAATAGACTTGGCTAAAACATCTGTTTCTACCTGCATTATCTTCTTCCGGACTCGCTATTCGCTATCTGTTCAAAAAATAAGGTAAATTTTCATTTTTCTCAAAAAATATTTATTACACATCAGTTTCCATTGTTTCCTCCTCAAAGTATAATATACTTGGGCCAGCGTTTTCTTCTAGTCCTCGAAGCAGTTCCGAAATGCATTTCTTTGTATGTCGTTGAGCCCTCTCAGCTTTTCGGTTTACATTCCCTCAATCGTCACAAAACGCCGTCCTTTCATAGGTGTCTTCAATATTGGGATCGGAAAAAGTCGTAGGAAGCCAAATCTGGTGAATATGATGGCTGAAGCATGATTAAGGTGTTGTTTTTGGCTAAAAAAAAGGAATGAGCAATGACGAGTGAGCAGGTGCATTATCGTGATGCAAAAGCCATGAAATGTTTTTCCACAATACTAGACGTTTTCTCTCCACAAATGAAAAAACATGCGGTTTTTGGTTTCAAGGATACTGGAGAAATAAAATTAGATGCTCACGTTTGCTAGTGCTTTCTTTGGTGAGTTTACCGAAGAAAAATATGTATGAGGGCTGTGTTGCTCTAATATCGTACCCTATATCAACCATATCATAAATCTCTGGTTAACTGAGAATGTCTGCCCAACTATCTGGAAAAGAGCCATTGTGAAAGTTCTGCCTAAAACACAGAATCCAATGGAATTTAAAGATTTGAAGAATATCAGTATCCTGCCTGTATTGTCAAAAATCCTGGAGAGCCATGGAGTTTCAAATTAAAAACCATATTTTGAACTTTTTTTTAGAAAGAGCATAGCTGTTCAACTGCCCTTCTACATATTGTGGATGATATAATGAAAGCAATAGATGAAAACAAATGTACGTTATCAGTCCTACTATGTTTCAGCTGGGCGTCTGATACTATTAATAACAATCTTTTGCTAAGCATTTTGAATTATAATGGTTTTTCTGCCAATGCTCTTGCATTATTGACGGACTACTTGAAAAATGACAGCAACTGGTTAGTGCTTGTGGCATTGTCAATGCATATATGAATAGATTTTTTGAATTGGCAACGGACAACTGTTTATTTATACACTCTAGTACATCAAATGTAATGATCTTTGGTCTAAGATTTCACCGGTCCATAGTAAATAACTCTGTGAATATATGCATTCGAAATGAGCCACTAGATATTGTTGGTGAAGCAAAAAATTTTGGTGTTTTGATGGATATAGATCTGAGATTTGAAAAATTTGTAGATGATCTCTTACAACGTCCCTATTCTGCACTGAAAATCATTTATGGTAACCGACATATTCTGTCTTATTATGTGAAAAAGTACTTATGTGAATCTTTGGTGTTTTCAGTTTTCAATTATGCGGATGTTCTTTATGGCACATGTTCAATCAATCAATACAAAAATAAGATTGAAAAAGTTCAAAACGCGTGCCTTAGGTTAATTTTTGGTATTGGTCGGCGACACAGGATCTATATAAGCTTCAAGAAATTGGATAGCTGAACATGGAGAAAAGAAGGTTACTTCACGCTGTCTGTTTTTTCCATAAAATAATTGTAAAAAAAAAACCTTCATATCTTCATCACATATCGTAAGGACATCCGTAACCTGAATATTCGATATAAAAATATGATTGCAATGCCAAAATTTAAACAGAAGTGTTCAGGCGGTCTTTCAGGTACCAAATTTGTCAAAAGTATAATTGTGTCCCCAACCCCCTTAAAAAAATTAAATTTCACAAAATTCAAAACTAAATACAAAGACTATTTTCTAGACTGAAATTTAATCAAATTATTGATATCTTGTAAGGAATAAGTGAAGTAAACTCTTTATGAAAGGTGTTTATTCGTATTTTTATTATAATAACATCATAACAATCACAGTTTTATTTTTGTTCATCTTTTCTCTTTCTTTTTATTTGTTCTCATTTCAGGGTTGAGTGGAAGAACATTTTCCGTGATGTATTTCATTATGGACGATGAACTTCGCCTTTTATTTCAATTGTAAGTTGGATTTATAAGTTATGTTGTGTTTTCTGTTTTGGTTATGAAATAATAAAGATGATATTATTATTATTTTTTTCACCGTAGTGTGCGCTGGTCAGGCCCTATCCCCCGAAGCCCCGATACATTCGGGAGGGCGCACCAGCATTATCAATCAATGACCACTCCCCTCACCGTGGGGTAAGTGATCATTGGGACCAAGAATCATGTGCCCTGAGCAAGCGCAGTGAGACAAAAATGACAGCCTCCTGCATCTGTGCGGCTAAGATTTCTGCCTTAGTGCGGCAAGCCCGTCTGATTTTGAGTTTCGAGAGTAGAGAGGACATCATTCCACCAATGACTCCAATAATCAGAACAACCATCTTGACAGAGTGATCTGGATAGAGTCTGTGGAGTTCGAAGAGAAAATCTCGAAATTTTATCTGTTTTTCCTGCTCTTTTCTGACGATATTCGTCTCGCCAGGAGCTGAAAACTCCACGACAAATATCGTTTTGGTCTGGTGGTCGAGAAGGGCTACATCAGGCTTATTAGCTTGTATGAGCCTGAGGGTGGGGAACGGATAGTTCCAATAAATTCGGCACTTCTCGTGCACGACATGCTGATAGCAAGTGCATTAGGGTCAGGAACCTCTATACTCATCACGCGTCTGCGGTAGACTAAGGTGTAGAAGACACCATCCTGGTAAGCCATGATGGACCCCTCAGTTTCCGACTTCAGCCCACTCGACCTGAGAAAAGCGAACGTCAGGCGCTTTGATAAGCCAAGGTCTCCAATGTTATTGAAGAAGACCCCATGCTTTGGCTTACCCTTGTGTCTCCGCAGAAGTAAGGTGATCTCTGCGGATTTTATCTGAGCTTTTTGCTGAACGGGTTCCAACTCGGTAACAGAGTTGTGGTCACCTCGTTCAGAGTCGAAAACTATACTGAGTTTATCAGCTGCTCGGGCAGCTGCCCTAAGGAGAAATACTCCAATTCCTGCTCTCTCATGATCACGGATCATGCAGAGAAGGGGATCCGAACTCCTGAAGACTTCACAGGCTGTATCCAGTACCATTCTGTCATGTAGACACTCCAAACTCAAAAATCGTCGGCCTCCTTGTTGTCAGGGAAAGTACAACCGTGGAACGGACGATTTATGATGCAAACTCTTATAGAGATGCATAATTTTTCGGGTCTTTACGTCGAGTTGATACAGCTCCTCCCGAGTCCATTTCACTACTCCAAACGAGTAGAGTAAGATTGGAACGGCAAGCATATTTGTTGCAGCAACTTTGTTCTTTCCCGACAGATCCGATGACCAGATCTGTCGAAGTTTGCGCTGTTACTTGCCACGGAGAGAGTTCTTCACTGCTGTTACCTCTTGTGAGTGGCGTTGTTCCACCCCGAGGTGAGTATACGTCTCTCCGGCATCCAGATAGTGTAGGATGCTTCCATCTACGAGCTGCACATCCTCTCCGTAGTCCTCGCATCGTCCTCTTTTGAAGTGGACCATTGCACATTTGTCTATCCCGAATTTCATACCGATAGCATGCGTGTACACTTTTATCACCCTCAAGGACTGATGGAGATCCTATTATTATTATTATTATCATAAAATTCGAACTGTTTGAAATTAAAAACACCTCATTCAACTGTTTTGAGTTTTATGTTTCACTAATGGTCTTTCACAAGACATCATAGCTTAGAGTGAAGAGTATAACTGAATTCCCAAAACGAGCACTGCTGCCAAACACCAGAATTGTATCACTCTTCTCGTCACGCTTTTTACCAATCAACTAGGCATTATCAGGAGATAGACGTAGCAAAAACTTTTTTAGGTATCAGCACATTTTCAGTAGAACTTGGATTTTTGAATGTGTAATGAATATGAAAGAAACGATTCTAACACACATCGGAACTGCAATACTTCATTTCTGCAAGATGAATAGTTAATCTTTTCATCGTAGTGAGCCTTGTTTGTCTGTACTGAGTATGGGTTACGTCTCTAAATGAAATATACAGATCATTCAAAGTTTCAATGAACATATTTTGAAAGCTCATTGAAACTTCCTATGGAAAACTTTGATCACGTTTCTAATACCTCTGCAAATAAAGAAGATATATACAAATATATAATTTCCAATTGTATTAATTTTTGTTCATACAGTGACTCGAAACAGCCCGGTTCAATTATTTGAATGAAAAGTGAAAATGATATCTGGACTCATGTTTTAGTTGAAAGTTTTACCTTAGAATCACTTGAAATAAGAAAATGTTTGAATCAAACTCAAAAGTTATGAAAACGTTTACCCTGAAAGTTTTTTTTCAATAACTTGGATTCATCTAGTCTATGGAATACGAAAATTCTCAGAGACGTTATAGAAATCCTTCCATATTATTCATCACATTCGTGAGTCTCGCAAATTTCCATCTCTTACCGTGAAAGCAACAATCAATCACTCATTCGAATACCTCCACCAGACCGAAAACCGAGCTCAATAACTCGAAACCAAACGCAAAAAACACGAAAATCGCTTTCGTCCGCGAGACTATGAGCCGGAGAAAATGAAAGAGGCTAGTTGGGCCGTTTGGCCAATTCGCCAATGCTTTCTTTAGTGATGTTCCGCGATATGAATCGAAGCGAGCAAGAGAACCTGTATCGGACATCGAGGAAGCTTAGTCTTGTGCCCATCAGTCATCCGACAGATTCGAGAAGGCCATCCGGGATCAGGGAGGAGGCGACCTATCACAACGAAGGAGCTTACAGGAGGTGAGTTGTTTATTCTGTTGAAGGTTTGCGGTTCTGGAGATTTTCTAAAATTATTGAAATGGCAGTTGTTGATTCATTTTCAAACCTCCGAAAAGTTTGGTAAACATTTCTGATGTACCCTGCGTGTTCCTTTGAAGGATGTTTCGAAATACAGATTAGCAATGAGACAGACTTCTGTGGTGAGTCACAATGATTTAGTAATTGAAATGCGTGTTGACAACTTTTTTCAAATTCCCGTTTATTGTTTTTTTTTTCGCTTTCTCAAATATTGTTATCAATAAAAGATCAACATTAAAACATGACATCCAGCAGAGATTCGTTATGTCTCATACTTTTTCTTCGATGCTACAAACGTTTCACATCTCAAAAAATATATAAAAGGAATGATAGATTGAGAAGAAGAAAGATGTGACAAACTCCGTCACACATCTAACTTCATTGGTTGATTTTTCGGAAGTCAGCTTTTATATCATGCAGCTGCCGGACTGAGTCATGGCCGGTGAGAAAGCACGTCCCTCAAGATGTGCAGTAGATGGGTAGAAATCTGTTATCAGTCTAGATTATTCGAGCCGTAAACATATAATTGCGAACAAAAGTTTCTATCCTTTTTTTCTTTTCTAATACTTTATTTTTCATACACCGGCCCAAATTTTACGCAGATTTGATTCCTCCCACCGGCCATGACTCAGTCGGCTAGCTGTACATTGGTACATTTGGAACACTAATTTGAACCAGACAGCTGTACCCATACAAAATAGAACCATCTTTGAACATTGGTCACTTATAAAGATCTCTGCTGTTCTGAGGTTGTTCCATCATAAAACAACTATTCATCTGATTGAAGATGTACTATAAATAATCATGGAAATTCAGATCATCTGAGGAACTTTGGATAAGATGTTTCTCTTCTATAGATACTTTTATGGGACGTGCTCAACTTGCCGAACTTCCGTGATTTCCAAATTGGACACTTTAAAAGGGAGACATCTGTTTTCAAACTAGATACATGAAAACTGATGGCTGTGTCTGAGTAAAATTTTGTGACAAACTTAATGGAAAAAACCGCATATCAATATCTATAATCGTTTCTGAGCTACAGCATGTTTTTCGAAAATGTGGATTTTCGAAAAGTTGCTGTAACTTTTTTCCTGTCGAAAATTTCTTGTTTCCATAAAAACATTTCCAGAGCACTTTTTTACGTAGAATTCAAAGATGTGAAAAACTTATTTTTCCAAATAAGATATCAATAGTTATTGATGAAAAACTATTTTTTTTATGAAACCCTGATGAGAGACTGAATATTCCTGCGTAAAATTACCTTTTCCAAGATGTAGCACACTTGATGTTTTGCTAGAGTCATCTTTGAAATATAGAGCTTTCATTATTGTGTATTAGGAATAGACAGTATAAGCTGAATTACAAAGGTAAATTACAAACTACTAACTACACTGAAACTAGAAGAACACACGAAAACGCATGGACACGTTACACATACACTTACGTTAAATAATCATTAACGCTGTAATACGAATTTAAAACTGAAATAGGTTTTATTTTCGTTTTAAACGTCTCTAATGTTTTGTTTTCTTTCATTTCACTCGGTAAAATATTAAATAAACGAGGACCTGCAACATTAGCACCCTCGCCCTCGAGCTAGCGGAACTTGATATATTTTTTTTGCATAGTGTTATTGTATGAGTAGAGCCTATTAACGGAAATTGACTTTCATTTTGAAAAACGTAGACACAAATTTCCATTATGTACAAGCAGGGTAAAGTTAATATTTCTAATTTCTTAAAAAAATGTTTACACAAAAAAAAAATTTCATTTGCGTTAGTTGACCAACCCCAGAAACGGACACCATAGCGCAACCTCGACTCCACTTCAGAGAATATAGCTGAGATCTCATAGCTTGAATGCTAAAGAATGCAATTTTGGTATGAGTCCATCATAATGTGATTTAAAATTAAGGTTTTTGTCAATCTCAACACCCAAAAATTTCATACTTTCCGACAATGGAAGCAGTTGGTTATCTACATCAATATATAGTGGGTCAAGAATTTGTTGACAATTGCGAAACTGACTTATCATTGTTTTATCTGAATTGAAAACAAGCGAGTTACTAGAAAACCACCAGCTCGAAGATCTTATTGTTTGCTCACATTTCTGTTGAATACTCGTTTGATCGGAGCCTGTTATAATCATCCCAACGTCATCAGCAAATTTCACGCACTTTCCATCAGAAACAGATTCGTCAACTCTATCTATATATACTCGAAGTAGTACAGGTTCAAGACTGAACCTTGTGGTACTCCGAGATATAGAGATATTTTCAAATTTCACGTTGACGTTTTGGGATTATTTTCAACAGCTCTTAAAACGGCCATTTCTTCCAACTCCTTATACCTATTTGATTCATATAATTTTGTCATTTTATTTTCAAATTGACCACCATCAATTGCAATCTTGCGAAAATGTCTCTGAAAGGTTGTCTTCTCTCTGGATACCTCTCGTGATACAAAGTGCTTGCTGCTTTTGCATTTTTCCCAGTTTGTATAAAACAGACTATCATATCCCATTTTTCATTATTGTCATACTTCATTGCAGATGTGTCTGAAAATTGAACAAAAACCACCAATTGAAGAGTGTTTATACTGCTCAAATCAGAATTTTACAGCTACCAGTGAAGATGCGCATTCTGTCTTATCGTCGCATCGTCCAAAGCCTACTACTCAATCAAACTGTTGCGTTTCATAGTCTACATGGAAAAACCTAAAAACAATGTATTTTAAAGATGACTGAAAGATGAAAGATTACATAAGTGTACTACATTTTCGAAAGGTGATTTTATGTTTTATTGAAATATACAGGAATATATAGGGTTTGTCATTAAAAACAAATAATTTTCCATCAGTACTCATCATCAGATATCTCATTTGAAAAAAATGTGTTTTTCATACCATTGAATCCTACGCAGAAAAGTGTTCCGGAAATGTTTTCATAGAAATAAAAAAATTCTGAATTTTTCTGAAAAAAAGTTACAGCAACTTTTCGAAAATTCACATTTTCGAAAAACATGCTGCAATTCAGAAACGATAATAGCTATCGATATGCGGATTTCACCATTGAGTTTGTCATAAAATTCAATTCCAAGATACGGCCATCAGTTTTCATCTATCTACTTTGAAAACTGAAGTTTCTATTTAAAAGTGTCCAATTTGGCCACTCTGTACATGTACTACCACAGCTTTACTGTGGAACAACAAATACTGAGAGCTCAGCTCTACTTAACAGTGAATATTGTTATCAGCATAATTTCGAATATAATTTTTTTGTTAAATATTATGTATGAACAAGTTCTTGACATTATTTTTGGTGGACTCAAATGCTGAGCATTGAAAAAAGCCAATCCTGTATAGTACCTCGACACCATTGATATGAAACAAGACAAGTTGTTGCTCATTGTAATTGCTTATTGTAAAAGTTGCTTCATAAGAGCTTTGCGACATGGGCGTCACCTGCAAACCCTTTTTAGTTCAAAAATATGTTTGTTTCCTTCAGTGTAACTTTCTTATAATTCAAAATGATGGTTATATTCATATAGGACTGTAGGCTTTTTCGGCTGGCGTAAATTTTTTGGTTGGTTTTCGGTTTTATCCGTGGTGTTCTTTGGTTATAATCTTCAAACGTTTCAACAGCAACTGCGGCAGTCATCTTCAGTGTCGTGGTCGAAGTACTCTTCTTGACGTATCAACAAAAAGTTTCAGTTGATACTTCAAGAAGAGTACTTCGACCAAGCCACTGAATATAACTACAGCAGTTGCAGTTGGAACGTCTGGAGATTATAACCAAAGAAGATCACGGCACATCCCGGAATCCAACCAAAACAGGAATTTGAAAGTCTACTAAGTCGATCTCTGAAGAAAACTTGAAATCTTAGAAAAAAACTTTACCGACTGATTTTTTATTGATGCATTTCAGTTGAATTCCTTTCCTATGTAAAATATTTTGTCGAACACTCTCGACCTACGGCACTCTTCACAAAGAGATCCAATAAAGGTCGGCATTCCATTCACAAAGGAGCTGAGCGTATACCAAGTGATTCTATTTGGAAATTGCAGACTGATATCTTGATATTTACATCTGGACATAACTTGATATTGATGTTAACGTGGTTCATGAATTAGAGGTCTAAACGATTATTTGTAATTTTAGGGGGTCGTGCATAAGTGAAACTAAAGTAATTGTTCTCAAAACTGAAACAATCGTTGTACTATGGATTCAGTTCAGAATTAACTCAAATTCCTCACGAGATAAGTTTTAACTATTAATCCTTTATGGAAATTTATGACAGAACATCGATTATTTGCTCTACTCACTTTCTGGTGGTTTTTTTTGTAAGCAATAAAAACAAACGAATTTCTATCGTATCACCTGCAAAATTTTCATTCAAAAATAAAATTCAGATGTATGAATATCAAGGGTATAGTAAGAAATGCCATAAAGTTTGTAATCCATTATGATACTCTTATCGTTATTACTGTAGATAAAATACCAACCAAGAAACGATAATTGAAAAACCGGATCATAAAAACAATGAAATTATTGTGAAATCAAAAGGAAATAGGGAACTAGATTCAATAGGAAAATTTAACATTGCAGATATGACTAATTGGAAATTTCGAAACAAAAAACAAAATGCGTACGTTCACCAGGTTCCAGCAGTCAACCCTACTACATTTTTTCATTGTTTGTTGACGGTGATTGCCTAATTTAGTATGCAGAACTTCTGCATATAGCGTAAAAGCGCCTTTTCAATTTTGCCAATTTTATTCAGTGTTGGGTTCAGCAATTACCGTCTACCACATTCGTGGTGAAGCAGCTTCAAATTCTGCAATGTCGCAGAATTCGACTCATACACGAACTACAAATATGCGTAAAATGTTGTGTTAATTTCTTAAAATAATTAAATAATTTTGAACAAAACAAAAGCGAATCAG